GAAAAACATTTCTAATGACTATAATAGAGTTTCCCAAAAATGGACTGGCTTTGCTATGTGAAGTAGGATATTCCCACCCACTATAACTCGGGGACAGTCATGACATATGCTGCATAAGGTTGTTGTTAAGTCAAGAAGTCAGTGTTTGCACAGAATTCAGAACAGTTCTTAGCAGTCCCTAACACAACACTTCTTATAAGTGTCTCTTAAGTTAAAATAAAAATCAAAAGAAGTGTCCAAGCAAACACTGGGCATTGACTTAGTGAGAAAACGGCTTTCCAGGAATTTCCTCAGCTCCTGACCACTGCCTTTCTCTCACTTCCTCCGCCATGGGGGAGGGAAGGCAGGGCCAGAAGCCATGTTTTGCTTCATGTTCTCTGCACCTCAGTCATGGGGGCGGGGGGACACAGACACAGAACCAAACCAGACTCAACAGAATCTCCCTCCTGAGACTCTGTTTCCGTGTCGCTGACTCAGTTTCCGTGCATTCCTGGAACTGAGGTGAGGTAAACTCAGGCTTTGCACAAAGAGAGCAGAAAAGGCCAGACTGAGAGAAGCAGGAGTCGTGGGTGCAGACAGAGGTGGACATCCAAGACCTCTTGGTCCAAGAAGGGAGACCAGCTGCCCGGTTGCTCAGAGCTTTCCGGCTTTGGGTCTAGGCCCTCCTTCAGGCTCAGCTGCCCACCCGCCCTACCTCTGAGTCATCTCACAGGTTTATGCACAATGGCCCTTTTACCTCTAGCGATCTGAAGTGGGTTTCTGTTGTTTGACCTCACAGAGATTTAATCAGGCCACACCTGAATCACTTGCCTGCAAGGGAGAAAAGCTCCCCAAGTTAAAGGCCAAGCAAGGAGGCTCTCCGGGAAACCATCTGGGGCTTTAAAGTTGTCATGCAGCTTCTGTCTTCACTCTGTTCCTGTGTCAGGGCTGTGTGTTTACCGTTCTTGGCTTGCCCCTCCGGACTGCTCCATGCGTCGTCCTCTGCGGAGCAGTTTTCTCTGCTCCATCCGCCCCTTCCATGGAGCCCTGGAGCTCACCTGGCTTTCCAGCTATGCTCTGCTCACGGACTCCATGTTTCTCAATTCTGTATTGGATACTCCTGGCAGAGAGTATCTGACGGGGCTCCACTTGGCCCCGGGAGGGAGGGGAAGAGGGGGCGGGGCGGCTCTTTACTGGTTCCCTGAGCGGACAGGGGCGGGGCACCTGGGAGCTGGGGCTGCCGGTTCTAGGGAGGTGGGCAGAGTAGACTCCGAAAGTGGTGGGGGCAAGGAGGAATCATAATATAATGACGGTCCGTTTGGCAGGTTGTATGAGATTTCAGGCTTGAGGGGGAGTCACAGGCCTTCTAATCCTGGGGAATCTCCTTCATTTATTTAGCCCTAGTTTTGTAGTGTTTGACATATGTATCCTCACAAACGAATGCTTCGTTCATCGATAAGGTGTTAATATTAGGTTTTCAAAACAAAGATATTTTACTTCGGATAAAAATGAAAGAAGAGGGGCGCCTGGGTGGCTCAGTGGGTTAAAGCCTCTGCCTTCGGCTCAGTTCACGATCTCAGGGTCCTGGGATCGGGCTCTCTGTTCAGCGGGGAGCCTGCTTCCCCTCTCTCTCTCTCTCTGCCTGCCTCTCTGCCTACTTGTGATCTCTCTCTGTCAAATAAATAAAATCTTAAAAAAAAAATGAAAGGAGAAAAACTAGAAGTGGGAGATAAAAGATTTATTCGTTCTATCACAAATCATAATCAGCCCAAACCTCCCTCTTAATACACTATGCAATGAAACCTGGTTTTTCAGAGTTTTATTAAAGTGTGATTGAAGACAATAAGCTATATCTACTTCAAGTATACAGTTCCATGAGACCATCACCACAGTCAAAGCATGAATATCTATTACCTGCTAGCGCAAGTGTCCCTCACCCTGCCCTCCCCTCCCGCCCCCCCCCCCCCCCCCCCCCCCCCCCCCCCCCCCCCCCCCCCCCCCCCCCCCCCCCCGCACCCTGGAATTACAGGTTTCTCCTCTCAGGCTGCCCAGAACATCAACTATTCCCAGGCAGCTGGGAAATTGTTCTGTCTGCTTCTTTCCAGTGGTTCTTTCTCTGGCCTTGGATAGTTTCCTCATATGCATGTACTTGACCAGTATACCGGTGAAGGCTTGGGGTGGGGGAGGGGGCCTCTGCACATCTCCAGAACTCTTTCTGTGCAATTCTCTGCCTCTGGTACTCTGCTCTGTGGATTCTAGCCATCTGGCCTTCCCCTCCGATTTCTCAATTCCATTTTCTCTGTTCGGAGAGATTGCCAGGCTCCCCTTGGGTTCCCCTCCCAGTCCTGCAGTTTGGAATCCCTCTCTGGATGGGAAGCCAGGGCAGTGAAAAGGACCCCTTCCTTAGTATCCCTTCTCCTGGGTGCTCTGCTGCCTATTATCTGATGTCCAAAGCACATTGTTTCTTTTTCTCTTTTTTTTTTTTCCTGGATTTTTCATCTAACTTCGTAGGCTAAATCCAACTCCTTTTCTCTATTATGACTGCAGCAGAAGAGACTGCTCCTTTTTTTGATGAAAAATGCTTTATGACAACCTCATTTTAAAAATTTCAACTGATATGAAGTCTTATAAAGTAAAAAATTGCCTCTCTCCCCTATTCACATCTCACACCCCAGAAATAACCAGTGTTAATGGTAAACACATTAAAGCATTTCCACTTTTCTCAAAAGGACCCTGTAGTGAAGTTAGAGAGGGGCCATCTTTAGCAGTGCTGGAGGATTGGAAATGCATGCTCCTGAGGAACACTGTCCCTCCCACTGTCCCTCATTATCTCCCCCATTAAACATGTGAGCTGCGTCTCATTCTGTACTGACCTCTCTTCCACTGTCCAAAAAAGGCAGGAACAAGGGTCCTGTGTCCATCTTAAGATCTCTGTGAAGGCCATATGAAATCGTGTACCAGAAACTGCTTGGCAAACTTTGAAATCATTACAATTGTTAATTAATGCTATGTCCTATTATCATGTGTTTCTTTTTAATATTAATAATTATTTTATCACATCTAGTGTTTAGAAGATTTGAATGCTACCTTCAGGGTCAATTTTTATCACCATGACAGTTTCTCTTTATCATAAGCCTACTGGAGCTCTCTGAGGTCTAAGGTGAAAGGAATCCTTATGCTGTCAAGGACATCATTAAGTGGCTTCAGTTGCGTAGGGTGAATATCTCAGAGGTGGAAGAACCTGTAACCCAAAGTGTGCCACTCCCTGTAGGGCTAAGAGGTTAATATTTCAGCTTCAGAGTCATGCATATACACAATCTCATGAACTCTATGAATTTTCCTGGAATAGCAAGAAATAATGGATTTTTTCCTTTTTCTTCTTTTGTATTTTTACCTTCTAGTTCTAACTCTTTCTCTGTTCTAGATCTGAAAGCAAATATAAGCTCTAAAACCATATATATATATTCAGAAACTGCTATGTTTCTAACCAATTATTTTCTCTTTCCCTCTTAAAAATGACATTGAACCATGTACAAATTACAATGTTCATGCATCCAATCAAAAAAACTTCTGGACATGCCAAAAAGCAAGAAAATATGATCCATAATCAGGGGAAAAACGAATCAATAGAGACTCTGAAAAAAAGATGTAGAAGTCACTGGCAGTCAGTTACAACTCAGGTGTGGTCTCCGTGGGACGGGATTTTCATAAACCTTATTATGCCATTTAAAACACTACAGCTCTGGGGCCACTAGGTGGCGCAGTGGGTTGAGCCACACACTCGGGTTTCCCAGGAGGGCAGGATCGCCAGGTCATGTGATCCACCTGCCTGGACCGTGAGACCATGCTGGGCCCAGTCCGCTGGAGATTCGCCGTCCATCTCCCTCTGCCCCTCCCTCTCGTGCTGTCTCTCGAATAAATAAACACAATCCTTAAAAACAAAACAAAACACTGCTGCTCCGTTTTGTAACTGTGTATGGTGACAGATGTTGCAGTGATCCGTGAACAATACATACAAATGTTGAATCCTTATGTACACCTGAAACTAACATGTTACATGTCAAGCGTATTTCCATGAAGGAAAAGGTAATCTGCTAAATTTAATTAAATAAAATACGTCTTCACTAGATCTTGCATGATCCAAGCTGAAGGCGTCTCTACATGCTATATAGTGATAAATCATCAGGCTCTCATAATTGCATGTGTTCAGAATTCCGGTTGTGTTTGTGGACATACGACTGCCTGTGACTACTTGACTTTTATATTTTTCAACAGCGTTGCCCGCCTTCTGCTACCCAAGTGCATCTGGGGACGAGAACATGACGGGGACGTTGGAGGTGAAGGACCAAAGACTGTCGGAACTGGTTCCCCAGTTCAAGTCCGTTTTCTAAACCAGACCCTGAGGTCACAAAGATCTGAGCTTCCCCAAGCAGGTCTCGCGTGTCAATAAAGCCGAGTGGGCTTAGGCACAATCCCCCGCCGAGACTCGGAGGGCCGCGGTCGCCCATGCATTCTCAGTACAGCACCGCTAGAAACCCACCCAACAGGTCTCCCTCGCGCGCCCTCCCAGCTTGGAAGAGCCTTCAGAGGCGGGTGTGCGGATGGGGTCAACGCGAGCCAAGAACTGAGCCGCACGCGGGAGGGGCGGGGCTGGTGGGAGGCGGGGGCGGGCCGCACCGGGGCGGGGGGAAGGTGAGCTGGGCGGGGCTTGGCGCGCCTCCGCCCCCGCCGCGGCCACTGTTCACAGGCCGGGTGCTGATCCGCGCGGAGGCCCTCTGGCCGCCTCACAGAGCGCCCGGGTCCGGGCAGAGAGGCGCGGGCGTTCCCGGAAGCCTCCCCAAAGTACGAGCGGCGGTGCCAGGCGGGGCCGGCTATGCCTCCCGTCGCTGCGGTTCCCGCCGGCGACCGCGCGCCCGCGGCCTCGGGGGCACAGCCGGGCCCCGAGGAGGCCGCGCTGTGAGGCGCCGGGGCCTAGCGGCCGCCACGACCACACCAGACAGGCACAGGGTCCCGCGTTCTCCCGCCTTCCTCGCGCTCTGCGGCCGCTCCTAAGGCCCGCTGCCTCAGCGCCGGCCACCATGGCCTTCGCCGCCCCGGAGAGCGCGGGCGTGGGGCGCGGACTGTCGACGCGGCACCTGGCGCTACGCGGGCTGCTGCTGCTCTGCTTGTGGCTGCCGAGCGTCCGCGCGTCCGGCCCGCCGTCCGCGCCGCTGTCCGAGCTGCACGCGCAGCTCTCGGGAGTGGAGCAGCTGCTAGAGGAGTTCCGCCGGCAGCTGCAGCAGGAGCGGCCACAGGAGGAGCTGGAGCTGGAGCTGCGCGCGGGCGGCGGGCCCCCAGAGGAGGGCTGCCCGGGCCCGGGCGGCGGCGGCTACAGCGCCATGCCGGACGCCATCATCCGCACCAAGGACTCCCTGGCCGCGGGCGCCAGCTTCCTGAGCGCGCCGGCGGCTGTACGTGACTGGCGGCAGTGCGTGGCGGCCTGCTGCTCCGAGCCGCGCTGCTCGGTGGCGGTGGTGGAGTTGCCCCGGCGGCCCGCGGCCCCCGCCGCCGCCGCGCTCGGCTGCTACCTCTTCAACTGCACCGCCCGCGGCCGCAGCGTGTGCAAGTTCGCGCTGCACCGCGGCTACAGCAGCTACAGCCTCAGCCGCGCCCTGGACGGCCGGCGGGAAGACCTGGAAGCCTCGCCGCGCACGGGTGAGCACCCCGCGGGAGGAGGCCGGGCCAAACCTCCGGGCCCTGCTGCCCTGGCACCTGTTGGGTGGCGGCCCCCGGGAGACCACTTGGGCAGTACAGTCAAGTTAGAGATGAAGCATCCTCGTTCCAAGGGATTTTAGTTCGGGGGTATCCAGAGGAATGGCTTTGACTCTTGTTTTATAGATGGTTTCTGAGAAACCCGGAAGGTTGGGCAGAGAGGGCACCATGGCCTGCTTCTGGAATTTTTCTAGCCTGAGGCTAATCTGAGAGGATTCACAGAAATTCGATTTAAAGGAGAAAAGCTCTAAAGAAAAAAAAAAAAGTTTATCTTAGGCTCAGATTTTTTTGTATTAAAGATTTTATTTATTTATTTGACAAGCAGAGATCACAAGCAGGCAGAGAGGCAGAGAGAGAGAAGGGAAGCAGGCTCCCCACTGAGCAGAGAGCCCGATGCAGGGCTCCATACCAGGACCCTGAGATCATGACTTGAGCCAAAGGCAGAGGCTCAACCCACTGAGCCTCCCACGGGCCCCTAGGCTCAGATTTTCAATAGGCTTAGATTTTTATAAGTCGTAGTTTGTGTCGAGTAATCGCAGGAGCAAAATCTAATTAGATAAAGACTGCTCGTGGCACACCCGTTTCTGAGCTTAGCTCTCAGAACTCATGATTCCATGTGCAGTGGCTTTCATCAGACAAAAATGAGAAGGGAAACTTGGTGTCAGAAATTTTGAAGTGGGTCCAACTGATTCCCATGAACTACAGTCCCTTTTGTAAAGAAGGTTAGGAAGGGATTTGATTTTAATTGAAAATAAGAAAGTTGAAGGCACGTCTCTTTTTAAAAGAGTTAATGAAGTTTTTTTCATTCTGTGGTTTTACTTCAGGCAGATGCTCTGAATGATAGTCAAAGCCCCTACAAGAAGCACAAAAAAAAATGTGGTAGTTGGAAATTAAAGCCACTGAGGGAATAAAACCTTGATTGGGCCCACATGTGGTTGGCTGTGTGTTTGATTGCATTTTGCTCTTTGATTATGATAACATAAGAATGATATAGCGATATTGGGGGTGGTGGGGGGAGCCTCAGCCATTTTGGAAATCTGGAGTCTCTCGGACCTGAAGGTCCAAACCATACCCACAGGTGAGCCCATCTGCTTACTCACCTCCACCTGAGAGAAAGCTCAGGACCCTTGTCAGGGGAGCAGACATCAAAAGCCACCCTGTGACTGATCAGCCCTGAGACAGACATTGGAAAGAACCCCAAAGTTTTCTCCCTGAAGCAAAAGCAAGAGACACTTTCAGTTGGACCTCCACCAACATCCCTGAGCCTGCCCCATGGCTATTACACACACATTCTTCCTCCTTGCTCAAACATGGACTAAAAAAATCCCAGCAGTAAAGAAACAAAACCTTTCTCTTGTTCTCACTCCACATCTGGAAGAAACCAACCTCACCAGGTTTCTTATAAGCTAGAGGAAATCAAAAGGAAAATAAGCAAGGGAAGAATATGCTCATGGAAATTAAAAAAAAATTTTTTTTTAAGTTAAGCTTAGTAGTAGGAGTTTCTGAGTCACTTTTTTTTCCTCTTCCTTCTTTCCCCTTCCCTTCCCTAGGGGGTGTTTGTCTGGGAATTCAATTATGTAGATGTTAGGGATAAAAATGTGTGACCACAGGGCTCGGTCCTCATTCTGGAAAACACTGTCATACTCACACTTCAGATCCCCAGCAACATGTTACTAGAAGGGTATAGCTCAGGTCCCCAGGTACCCTCATTTGCAGCTAGGTCAAAGGTTATCTACCCACACACCCTGTGTTTGCCTTGCCTAGATGCTTAACCTCTTGAAGCTCTATGCTTCTGAAACTTCTACATTTTTCCTTCTAGAACTGCCTTTTTTTCCAACTCTTGTGAGTATACAGAGTTGGAGGCTAACTGAGCATGAATATCGTTTAGAAAAGCTCTTGCAGAGAATTTGTCAGGGGGCCATTTGAGATGAATCAAAACATCATGAAATGATGAAGGGGCACGTGGAATGAGATGGCACAAATTTATGGCAGAACCCGTCAGCCACGTTTGTCACAGCTGCTGATTTTGGTGCTAGGCATTATTATAAGGTCCTTAGACACATGAACTCACTCTCCTCACAACAGCCAAAGATCTAGGTTCCATTATAATCCCCAGTGTACTAGAAGGCTCTGTGAGAGAAAGTAAACTGCCATAAAGGGCCTTGCCACACATGAGTCATGGAGCCTTGTCCAAGTGTCTCGTAGGAAATACATAGCAGACACTATTAAAATGGTCATTCGTTCTTCTGGAATATTTTTATGGGAAAGTGATCCATGCTAAAGAAAAAGTAGGAGCCAGGAAATTTATTGTGCCATTATTTACAATGGTGAAAAAAATTGATAAAGTATATGTCCAATATATACTTGGTTAAAGGTTAAAGGTTAAAGGCAGATGTTAAAAATTAAAGTGGCAACTGTGAAATTTATGTGGTAACATAACTAGATATGTTGCTAGAATATATAAGTAAATATAATTATTTATTATTAATAGCAATATTTATTGTTATTAATGTTATTAATGTTACTAGAATATATGAATAAATATCAATAAATAGAACATATTGATAAGCTAGTAGGCTAATTCAGAATATAAAATTTATATTTCCTATAACTGGATATACTTTGGGGATATTTAGAAAGATCTGGGCTGACATCCAAACTGACAAATTTATCATTTGTATCATGTTAAGCAACTAAGCCTCTGCCTCTCATTTCCTCATGAGTCTGACGCAGATGATAATACCTACCCCAGAGATTTGTGAAAGTTGAGTGACATTAAGGCTCATGAGCGGTTAGCCTGGAGCCTGGTATAAAGAAATCACCCAATAAATGACACCTCTTACTTATTATCATCAGCTCATACAGAGAAAGACAATAACGATACACACCAAAAATGATGATAGTCATATTGGGGTTGTGAATAATCTTTTCCTGAAGTGTTACAATTAGGAAGAAGACACAATGAAAAAAGAAAATCACAAAAACCAACCACATGGATTTTGACACATAGTATCTAAGCCTCTTCCCTTAGTCTGGCCCCCTTCTGTGTCCAGACTTCTGGAGTCTCTGTTACTTTCTCAACCTCCACTATATCATTTGTGTCCACACAGTACAGATCTAGGTTGCAAAACCTGCTTGTTATTATTAAGGCTTCGTTCACAGCAGTGTGTTATAAATCAGATTACTTAGCAATATTCTTATCTGTATAAAATGTCTTAACTTGATATGCTTCTTCAAATTTGGTATGAGTCTTATTTTGCCTCTGACCAAGTGTGTTTAGTTTTCAAAAGAAATCAGTGTTTCTATAGTACTTAATATTGATTTATTACAGTTGAAGATGAAAATTCAAATTTACCTTTATCTTGTTCTTTATCAGCAAGCCAAGGTTTTTTTTAAGTTGGGTGGGGTTTTTTTGTTTGTTTGGTTTTGTTTTGAGACAGGGAGAGTTGGGGAGGGGGTGGAGAGGCAGAGGGAGAGAATCTCAAGTAACCTCCACGCCCTGTGCGGAGCCCCATGCCGGTCTTCATCTCATGACCCTGAGATCATGACCTGAGCCAAAATCAAGAGTTAGACGCTTGACCGATTGAGCCACCCAGGCAGCCCTTCAAGATTTTACGTAATCTCCACACCCAACATGGTACTCAAGCTCACAACCCTAAGATCAAGAGTCCCACACCCCCTAACTGAGCCAGCCAGGTGTCCCAGCAAGTCAAATATTTTTAAATGATAGCACACTCCTTTCCTCTTCTGATTGTTGTTTATTTTTAAGATCTGTTCCTGGGTAGATAAGCTCTGACTTATTTCAGAATACATTATGCAGCATAACTTTTTTTTAAAGATTTTATTTATTTATTTGACAGAGAGAGATCACAAGCAGATGGAGAGGCAGGGAGAGAGAGAGAGAGAGGGAAGCGGGCTCCCCGCTGAGCAGAGAGCCTGCATCAGGACTCGATCCTAGGACCCTGAGATCATGACCTGAGCCGAAGGCAGTGGCTTAACCCACTGAGCCACCCAGGTGCCCCTTATGCAGCATAATTTGCCCAGACTTGAACTGAGGAGGGAATGTATCTCTCTTACTTCCGTTACAACAGTGTGGAAGATATGAGGGTTTTGCTATGCTCATATATCATATCTTAAAGCTTACCTAAAGAAAAGTAAACAACTAAAACTTCTTCTTCCAGGAGAGGCAGGATGAATTAGTTGTGTAATCATGTGGGATATTTCAGAACTTACCTAATTTTTCCAATTTAAGACTTTGGGGTTACATCTTTGAGAGCTTAAAAATATAGCATTCGTTGTTGTTTATATCGTATAGGTATATTTTAGTTTGTTTACTTAGAAAAAGTATTTTAAAACAAATTTTCATGCGAATAGTTGCTAACTATAATGTATTTCTACAAATTATAAGATGATTTACAGAATTATAAAGTGGTAAACCATTGTGTGGAAAGCAATGAAACTTCCAGAGCCAAAAGAAAGTTCTCAGTAACACTCTGTAAAATGGCTTATTAGTAGCGAAATTGTTACCTCTTTCCTTACCTGGGAGAAGCAGAATAAAGACCTCTGACACTAGTTCTTTGCTCTGCGATGGAAAAGGCAAAACAAATTTCTTCTTAGGCAAAGGTTGCTTGTGTGGCTTATTTAAATCTGAATTATGAGTCTTCATTGTTTTAAATGACTATAAAGATAGGACTTGTCGGGGCGCCTGGGTGGCTCAGTGGGTTAAGCCGCTGCCTTCGGCTCAGGTCATGGTCTCGGGGTCCTGGGATCGAGCCCCGCATCGGGCTCTCTGCTCTCTAGGGGAGCCTGCTTCCTCCTCTCTCTCTCTGCCTGCCTCTCTGCCTGCTTGTGATCTCTCTGTCAAATAAATAAATAAAATCTTTAAAAAAAAAAAAAAAAGATAGGACTTGTCTTGGGGTGCCTGGGCAGTACAGTCAGTTAGGCATTCAACTCTTAATTTCAGCTCAGGTCGTGATCTCAGGGTCATGCCCCATGTCCAGCTCCATCCAGCTCCACTCTCAGTGCCCAGTCTGCTTAAAGACTCTCTTTCCTCGGGGCACCTGGGTGGCTCAGTGGGTTAAGCCTCTGCCTTTGGCTCAGGTCATGATCCCAGGGTCCTGGGATCAAGCCCCACATTGGGCTCTCTGCTCAGCGGGGAGCCTGCTTCCTCCTCTTTCTCTCTCTCTCTCTCTCTCTCTGCCTGCCTCTCCGCCTTCTTGTGATCTCTGTCAAATAAAAAAATTAAAACAAACAAACAAACAAACAAACAGAAAAACTCTCTTTCCTCTCCTTCTGTCCCTCCCCCAACCTCTCTCTCTCTCTCTCTCTCTCTCTCTCTCTCTCGCAGATAAAAAATCTTTAAAAAAACAAAACAACACCAGGGAGCCTGGGTGGCTTAGTCCTTAAGCATCTGCCTTCAGCTCTGGTCATGATCCATGCTCAGGCACCCTGCTCAGTGGGAAGCCTGCTTCTTCCTTTCTCACTCCCCCTGATTGTGTTCCCTATCTCACTGTGCTTCTCTCTGTCAAATAAATATATAAATAAAATAGTAAAAAACAAAAATGAATACAAAAAACAAAAAAAAAAAACAACACCAACAACAAATGGGACTCATCTTCTCAGTAGACAAATGTAACCATCGGCAGTAGCAAGTGTGCTTATTCCCTGTAAATGGGCTAATAAAAAGCCATCTCTTTTTGAGGCTACCAACAGCGTTCTCATTTAGAAAAGCCGCAGCACTCATTGCTGCCAGCCCCTTAGAGAAAATCTCTGTGTCTGGATATTGGGAGGATCAGTAGATGAGAAGATAGAGCTGGACAACTTCTGAAAGGTCATGGTAATTTGTTGAAGGGTTTTTCTTAAGCAGGGAAATGACCCAATCAGATTAGAATCTCAAAGTCATTTTAGCTGTAGTGTGTCCACAGTGACATTTGTTGCCTAGTGAGAAACAAATAGGATTGCTGCTAGCCTCAGGTGCTGGGACATCTGGGTTGGCCCTTAGATGTTTGTTTGGGAAGCAGCTGGGGCTCTGGAGGAAGAGAGCAGTGTCTCAGCGACGCATTCAGAGAAAGTTAAGGAAGAATCCAGGCCAGAATCTGGGCAGAGCTTCAGCGTGGGAGGAAAGAGGAAATAGTGGATGCCAAAAAGGATAAATTACAAGAACCTATAGAATTTTCCCCCAGTTATATTACTAAGTTTCTTTAAGATATAAGTGCATTTGGGCAAGTTTACTAATAAACCTAAATCAATAAAATATTCACAACTCTGCTCTTAGATATGTTTTCTGTATGAAGCTTCTCCTGTCCGTCAGCACTAAAGCAGCGATCAGTTAAAGATTAGTGGTTAGTGAACACTACTTCAAGTTAGCCTTGAATTATTTAGTACCATTCCAGATCAAAGGTAAATATATACTTCTTTTGCTATCATACAGAAACTCTGTGCCAGCTTCTGTTATAAAAATCAGTTGTTTGGGGCGCCTGCTCCGGGGGAGCCTTCTCCTCCCTCTCTCTCTGCCTGCCACTCCCCCTGCTTGTGCGCTCGCCCGTGCGCTCTCTCTCTCTCTCTCTCTCTCTGTCAAATAAATAAATAAATAAGATCTTAAAAAAAGGAAAAAGAATTTTAAAATAAATAAATAAAAATTAGTTGTTAGAACCTGTGAATGTTTTCTATGTTCCAAGATGAAAAATTATATTCTGGAAAATTTCTAAGTGAGTTTTATGTTGTATGAATCCAAGAACTTGCCTTAACTTTCCAAACTTTATTTTCTACACATTGAACACTTTGTATCACTTCTATATTAAAAACTTGAGGATAAGGGAAAAAAATCTCTATCAAAGGTGGATTTAAAAAAAAAAAAAGATGTGTTTCAGAAGTCTTTTTTTGATAAATTCATTTAATAGAACTTTGAACTTAAATTATTTATGAATTAAATGAAAATTTGACTCTAGGGAATTTAAGTACTACTCCAGAATGGATAGCCTAGTACTGGGTCTTGTACCCACCACCTTGTTCTAGCTACTGCCACTAGCTGATACTCTACACTGCCTCTTCTACACCTGTTATAGTTGAAGTCCATATTCCTACTATGTTGCTATTTTATTGTTTATTATGTAAAGAGAATATGATGAAAACCAATGAGAAAATGACTTTTAGTTGCTATACATTCTCTTAGTAGTTGTTCGCTGGATTACATCTATTCTAGCCTACAAGATACTTCTTTAACTAAATTATTTTTAAAATAGGGGATCATCCCTCTTGTAAACTGTTGATTTTCTTTCACAGAAAAGGATAAGCCCCCACTTAGCAAGGCCGGGCGGGATGTGATCTTGCAACTACCTACAGACGGAGTAGTTTTGGACGGCCGTGAGAGCACAGATGACCATGCCATCGTCCAGTATGAATGGACACTGCTGCAGGGTGACCCATCAGTGGACATGAAGGTAATTCGTGATGTCGTTGTAGCAGCTGCAAATATTTCCCCGAGGTGATCTCTCATAATGTTTTTCTACTCCTGTTCCCAAAATATCTGTAAGCTGGCAGAAGAGGTGTAAGATAGAGAACGCGCAAGGGTGGTGGTTGAAAAGGTGGTTTATTATATGAATTTACTTTCCTACTGAGTAAACAGTGTTCTGATCCTTTGTTTTGAAGCTTACTCTTGTTCTTGCTGCTTTTTTGGCAAAACACCTCAAGGGAAAAGACTCAAGCTTTGTTTTAATTACTTTTTAAATTTTTTATTTCTTTTCTTAGCTGAAGGTGCAGGTAGAAAATTTTAAAAATATGAAGGAATATAAAGAGGAAAATAACAATAGAATAAACTAATTCTTCACATGCTCCAGAAAGCAACCACCTCACTTAGCAATGAGGCCAGCGTGAGGTAACTGAGTTAGCAAGTGAGGGGAAGTGTTCCTATTTAGGCGCTCCCCACTGATTTTCCTCAGGCTTATGTGAGCCGATCTGGAGTTGCTACAGATGGGAATGAGTCACTCTCCCCTTGGCGGCCTACGTCCAGCAGTCTTTCTGGGTTGTTTTTTTTTTGTTGTTGTTTTTAATTGAGCTATAAAAAATTATATTAATTCTAGAAGAACAACATAATGACTCGACATCTATACATATTGTGAAATAATCACCACAATAAGCCTAGTTAACATCTGTTACCTCACATAGTAACACGTTTCTTGTGATCAGAACTTTTTTTTTGAGGAAGGCTTGAAAACTTTTTTAAAAAGATTTATTCTCAGTGACTTTCAAATACACAGTACAGTATTATTAACTATAGTCAGCATGCTGTACATTACATCCCATGACTTAATTATTTTATGACTGGGAGTTTGTACCTTTTGACCCCACTTTACCAAATTTCACCACCCCTCACACCCTACCTCTTGCAACTACCCATCTATTCTCTGTATATACGAGCTCAAGTTCTTTGTTTAGATCCCACATCTAAGTGAGATCATACAGCCTTTGTTTTTCTCTGTGTGAGTTATTTCACTCAGCGTGATACCCTCAAGGTCCATGCATGTTGTCACAAATGGCAAAATTCCTTTTTATGGCTGAGTGTGTGTATATATATATATATATATACACACACACTCCATTTTTCTTTATCCAGTCATCCATCAGTGGACATTTAGTTTGTTTCTTTATCCGGCTACTGTAAATAATGCTGCAATGAACTTGGGGGAGTGCATGTATTTTTTCAAGTTAGAGTTATGTTTTCTTTAAAGAAATACCCAGAAATGGAATTGAGGGATCAACACAGGTTACCTTGAGTTGTGAGGCAAGTGGCTTCTTATTAACTCTATCAGGATCCTTCCTAGATAGGAGTATTTCCTGGCTGAACCACACTAGTTGGAGGAGGTGGAAAAAGTCTGCGTCGGTCAGCTGGGGCTGCCGTAACAAACTAGCACAGGCTGGACGGCTTCACCAACAGAAAGTTCTCAGTGTTCTGGAGGCTGGAAGTTCAAGATCCAAGAGTCAGCAGGGCTGGTTTCTTCTAAGGCCTTGCAGTTGGCTGTCAGCTACTTCCTATGTCTTCACAGGGTCTTTCCTCTGTGGGAAAGCACTGATTTATATTCTTTTAGAACAAAAACAATAATCTGCTGATCCTTCAAGACTAATTTATGTCCATTATTTACTCAAGGATCATACAGTCTTTGACTTGCCTTGACCCTTGATCAGCATCTTACTCAGCCCCCATCCATCTAGGAGCCCCTTCCAGTGGTTGTCTACTCTCTGCCTGGTATTTCCGGAGGTGAAAGCTCACTACTTCACATCACGTCCTATAACAGCTTTCATTACCTCTAATTATTAGGCCAACAGGATGTGCCTCCTATTACTTCTGTGTACTGGGCTAGATCTTCTCTTTGGAAAAGTACTCAACACATCCTTTTATTCTGTGTATCAACCACTTAAGTTTTTGAAGAAAAAAAAAATGAGGGACTCTTGGGTGGCTCAGTCAGTTAAGCATCCACCTTTGGCTCAGGTCATGATCCCAGGGTTCTAGGATCGAGTCCCACATCGGGCTTCTTGCTCAGCGGGAGCCTGCTTTTCCCTCTCCACCCCACTGATGCTGTCTTCTCGTTATCTCTGTCTCTCTCTCTCTCAAATAAATAAATAAAATCTTTAAAAAAGAGAAAGAATGTCGAGGCTTCTGGGTGGCTCAGTCAGTTAAGAGTCTGCCTTTGGCTCAGGTCATGATCCTGGGGTCCTGGGATCGAGTCTCCCATTGGGCTCCCCGCTCAGCAGGAAGCCTGTTTCTCCCTCTCCCTCTGCCCTTCCCCTGTTTGTGCTCTGTTTCTCTTCCTCTCTCAAATAAATTTTAAAAATCTTAAAAAAAAAAAAAATCTGACACCCTTATGAAGCCCATATGTAAACCATAGTTCTTCCTGACAGACTATGACTTCTTGTGATACAGACATTGTCTCTACTTCTACTAATGAAGCTTAATTTACAAAACTATTTTAGTAGCTGCTTCACACAATAGATTCAGGTTGAGTTTTCCATTAACAGAATTACCTAAAACCTGCTTCATCTTTCTGCACAGACTACTGCCCTGATGGCCTTTTCCTCCTGTATTTGTATAATTGATTCATTGAACCCGAGTGCAGGACCTTAAGTTTATTCTTTTTACGTCTCAGCCTTTTGGTTTTCATCTACAACAGAAATAATTTTGAAAATTGAGAGTCATCCAGCATATTTATTATCCTTCGATGCATTGTGTCAGCTGCAAAATTAATGTATCTTTATTTAATCTTTGAGAACCAAGGTTGTTCAGGAAAGGTAGACAGACAAGCCATCGATCATACCACTAGAGAGCTCCCTTGAGATGGACACTGACTGGTAATTGGCACTTCTGGGACATATTTGTTCAAGCAGCTATAACTCTGCCTCCATTATCATCTAGCTTTGGGTATTTGATACTAAAAGCTTTATTCTGTAAGCAATGAATTGCGTATATGAGTGCTGAACAAAAATAATGCTGATGATTCAGTATTTAATTTATTGAAGATATTTATAAAGGCCTAACAAAATTAGGCATTTCTCATGGGCTTTTACGTCTGACTGCTCTGCCATCAAGACGGAAATATGGACCAACTCCCCAGCCAAGTATATAATGTGCTGGCAGATAGATCTAGAGTTATACAACCATGATCTAAGTGAAAGAGTCTGCAGTAAGAGAGCCATTTACTACCAGACTGTGACTGTCTTATAATGGTGTACACTCACGAATGCTCCCGAAGTAAACTGTAGTCCGACTGTGACTTCGTCATAATAAAACTGTCATCGATTAAGCTACGCACTCAGTGCCAGGCCTTTTGGACCCCTCTGCCATCCTCAGACCAGCCTTCCAAGCAGGCACATCCCCATCTTGTAGATTAAAATTATAATAAAACATTGTTAAAGACTTTGAAGTGGCAAGAGATTACTAAGTAGCTTTTAAGGAAATGCTGGGGGTGGAGGAGCAGGTCCTTCCAGGTTAGCATTTAGAGATTGTAGAAAACAGACTGTAATGCAAATGAGTCTTGTCCTGAGACATACAAATAGATTTTTCATGTAGAGATGCAATTGATTTCTGCCCTGTGGAAAAGTGGATTTCAAACATGACATTTTAACCCCTGTAGGTATTAATCTATTAATCCAGGCATGTCGGTGCCTAATAGGTACTAACAGGATACTTGTTTCAGCTTTGCATCTCCTAGCAACTTCATCAACGCATTCTTGGCTGCTTACAACTGTCTGTTCTTCAAATTCTCTTTTGTTTTTTGTTTGTTTAAAAATTTTATTTTTATGACAGAGAGAGCAAGCAAGCAGGGGGGAGGAACAGAGGGAGAGGGACAAGCAGACTCTGCTCTGAGTGCACAGCCCAACACAGGGCTCTATCCCAGGACCCTGAGATCATGACCTGAGCTGAAATCAAGAGTCACATGCTTAACCCGCTGAGCTGCCCAGACGCCCCTCAGATTCTCTTTTGAATCTATGGAATGTCTTACTGGTTTTCTCTTTAATTAATGAATTAAATAAAATCTTTTTTTTTAAGATTTTATTTATTTATTTATTTGACAGAAATCACAAGTAGGCAGAGAGGCAGGCGAGGGGGGGGGGGAAGCAGGCTCCCTGCTGAGCAGAGAGCCCAATGAGGTGCTGGATCCCAGGACCCTGGGATCATGACCTGAGTTGAAGGCAGAGGCTTAACCCACTGAGCCACCCAGGCACCCCAAATAAAATCTTTGAATCATGTTCATATTAGATTTGTCTGAGAGTCATAGTTTTAACATTTTGAGAATTTTCTTTTAAAGGAAATTAACATCCTTCAGCCACCATCTCACCGATCCCTTTCACTTGGGTAGCCTGATTTTATACCCCCAAATTTCCTTTTTTTTTTTTAAGTTTATTTATGTTATTTATTGATCTCTACACCCAATGTGGGGCTTCAACTCACCACCCTGAGATCAAGAGTTGGTGTTCTTCCAATTGAGCCAGCCAGGTGTCCTTACAACCCCAAATTTCTGACAGGAAAATTGGGACTGTCAAATCAGGTGTGGGTTTGGGGGGTTTTTTGTTTTTGTTTTTGTTTTTTTCTGAGAATGGGATCCAGTTTACTGGAATGTTCCTGCAGTCCTCTATCCAGCTGCAAAATAGGGCTCACTTGGAAGGTTGTTGGGAATGGGGTGAGAGCAGTTATGGGCTAGCACAGCAAAGCAAGTAAGTTAAAACCCAACGTGGGATACACTTGTTCTTATGCTCCTTGATGTTCTTATGCCCCTTGATGTTCTTATGCCCCTTGACTGTCCCCACCCCTCAGGAGCACTCACTGATCAGGCTCTCCACTGAGAACACAATGTCTGCTCAAGATTCTCTCTCCCTCTCCCTCCCCGCTCTGGCCCTCCCCCTGCTCCTGCACAGAGAAAAACCAGAGCAAACAGGAACATGGGTCCTT